GAGATCGCGCCATTGCACTCCAGCCTGGGTAACAAGAGCGAAACTCCGTCTCAAAAAAACAAAACAAAACAAAAAAATATATATATATATAAAATTTAAAAAAAGGATCAGTCAAGCTCAGTAGGACCCAACAACTACCTATTTCCCTGATGCATTTATTGGACACTAATAACATCCTAATTTAATATTCTGAATTGATCATTCTTGTATATTAAGCTAATATTTTTAGTGCTCTAAAGCCACTTTTAGTGTCTACGTTCTTACTCATTTTGATGAGAGTAGGAGAGATTGAAGTGAAATGAATAAAGAAAAATGAGGGACAGACATCAAGGGGAAAAGTAGGTGAGAATGGTCATTAGGAAATTTAAGAATAAAATTAAGACACCAAAGTAGATATATATTCAACATGCATGACATCACTTAACAAGGTCTTTTTGGTATTTCAGTAACCAAACACCTTTGGATAGACCCCAGGATGGACACATTTTAAAGGGAATTCATCCTTCTAGCAAACAGTGTTGCAGTGAGGTTTCTCCCTTTTAATTCTCTAGTCTCTCTGTTTAGCTTTCATGAATATCTGATTTTGCCCCAAGAAAACTTTGAGTCATATTGTAGGAACTTACCTGTGACATGATGAAAAGCATAAATGTTGGGACATTTTGCAGAGAGAATGCTGTAGCCTTCTTGCAGTTCATTACATAGAGTGGCAATACAATGAAAAACTCGGATTCACTCTGAAATCTCAGTTGTTCTCCACAGGAAGCCATAGTCAACCGTTTTCTAGCACCAAAACATGACATCTAATATAGGACAGGATTCTTAAATAATACTACTCCTTTGTAGTATCATGAAAAAATAAGATACTGATCTTTCCACAGGTGGTAGTTAGGCAAACCAGGGCAGAGAAGGACTGAATCTTTTGCTTTCTCCTCTTCTAGAACATGGGAACAAGTACTTGTCTTTTTTACTGCTGTTATGCCTAGCACCTGGAAGAGGACCTAGTATCTATTTGGGGAAAGGAGTGTTGAAGGAAGGGTGCTAAATTTAAATTTGGGCATGGCTGGGCGCGGTGGCTCACGCCTGTAATCCCAGCACTTTGGGAGGCTGAGGGGGGCGGATCACAAGGTCAAGAGATTGAGACCATCCTAGCCAACATGGTGAAACCCGGTCTCTACTGAAAAATACAAAAATTAGCTGGGCGTGGTGGTGCGCACCTGTTGTCCCAGCTACTTGGGAGGCTGAGGCAGGAGAATTGCTTGAACCTGGGAGGCGGAGGTTGTAGTGAGCCGAGATCACACCACTGCACTCCAGCCTGGC